TGGGTCCTGGTCAGGGTCACCCCATTGCCCCGGTGTCACCTGATGGGTGCCCAGGGCCACCCCATGGCCTCAGGTGGCTTTGGATCCCCAGGCAGCTCCGTGGCTGCTCCAAACCCCACCCTGGTTCCCCCCACAGATTCCCGGCTGTCCCTTCCCGCTCTCCCACTGCTCAGCCCCCGTTTTCCAGCTGGTCCAGCTCCACCCCCCACACCCTCCGGGCTCATCCCGCTCCTTCCCAGCCCCCCACGCTCCCACCCTTCCCCTTGGAATGTCGATCCCTCCCTCCAAACCTTTCCCTCCAGCTCCTCCCTCATCCCTGCGTGCAGCAGGTTTGGGAGGTGGGGAGGAAACTTGGGGAAGAAGAAAATTTGGGGGAAGGAAGAAATTTTGGGGGGGAAGGAAGAAATTTTTTTGGGGAAGGAAGAAATTTTTGGGGGGGAAGGAAGAAATTTGGCCGTTCCTCCCCAGGAAATGCTCACCCAGAGGAGGAAATGAGATCCCACAGCCCCATCCAGGCCATGGCCACGGGGACATTGCAGGTGGGACACCAAGGGACAGGCAGAGGGTTGGAAACGTCCCGGGGAGTCACCAGAGGGACAATGACCTCCTGCTCAGCTCCAGGGGGGCACGGGTTGGGGGGGGTCTTTTCCCATTGCAACCCGCTGGAATTTTGGATTTTATGGAATTTTATCACCCAGCGAATTCCCGACATTGTCCATGCAGGGAAACTGAGGCACGGGAAGAACGAGGTCACCTTGCTCCACTCATCCCTCTGTGGCTCCTCCAGGATTCCCAGTTTTCCAGGCTCAGCCACTGGGATGCTCAGGGATCCTGGGGAGGAGGGATTTGCTCAGAGCCGAGGGTGGAATCCCTGCCTTGAGCAGAAAGTTGGGAGGGATTTCCCCCCTGGGATTCCCAGGAAAGCACCAGTCCAGCTTGGGGAGAGATTTTCCCACCAGGAGCTGTGCTTGGGATCTGTTCCCAGCTCCTGGCTGGACAAGGAGAACATCCCTGACACCTGGAGAAACCCTTCCCAGATGGATCCTTCCCAGATGGA